GAGATGCGGTGGGAGACCTAGTAGATCTGGTAAATAATTCTGAGACTCATTTTTGCTCTTGTTTCAGTGTGAATGATAACTCGTAGCCAAGCTCGGATATGAATTGCATCTAATTATTGACCGTCGTTCCGATAAATGAGAGCGAAGCGTTGAAGACAATAAATTAAAACCGCAGCTCTCCTCAGGAGTCGGTGGATTTCCTCGTTTTATAGTCAAGGGCTATACTTCATTGCTTTGTCAGATGTTGCTTCGCATATTTAACTTGACAGTTGTATCTGGAGTTCTTCCTCTGCCCGGAAACTCTGTGCTGTAGTTGCGTTGCATAATTCTAAATCGGGTGACCGTCCTGTTGCTAAGAATTACAGACTCGTGGATCTACTCTGCAGTCTATGTAAGGTTTTCGAAATAACCTTGCACACCCGCCTTTGCGCATATTTTTATCGAAATAAGATTCCACAGCAACATGAGTTTACGAATGGCTGCTTCAAGGAAATAAACCTATGCTCAATCTTGAATCATGCCGTACCATTTGCGCATAAGGACGAGTTGGAGCTGAGCTAGTTTGGCTTAGAGTTCCTGTATAGGCTCCCCCTACGGAAGTCGGGGTTGCGCGTCCATTTTCCACTTGGCGCTGCACCGCTGTTCGCCGAGATCGATCACATGAGGAGCAAAGAATGCTGCTCCGTGCAGCAAAGTCGCTTTGCCGAGCTTGCACGCTCCCCGGCGTATGTTCCCCTGCTTTGTCATCCTTATTTCCTGTTTTCTATTATATATATATATGTATATATATATAGAAAGAGAGAGAGAGAGAAAGAGAAGTAAGAAGAGAGAAAGGAACGCAAGCCAACGCAGGACTATTAATTTTATATCACCACGAACCTGCCTTTTTTTTTCTCTACTTTGCTTCCCCTACACTCCAGTTTGAAATTCAAGGCATATCCCGCTCGCCGTAAAGTAAACAAAGAGGCGAGCAAAAAAGAAGTGTGTGACACCGCTCCCAAACAATTGCTGACTATATACATTTAAAGGTGGTGAATTCGGTAGGGGTGTTTCCGTGAAATTTAGATTTTATTTCGACATGGGGTTCTTTGAATGGCCTTCTTCTGATGAATTAGACACGAAAGTTTCGTGTCTAATTCATTTTCTGGAAAGCGTAATGTTTTTCTTTTTTCGTTATACCTTGGACGCGACAGTTATTATTGGTTTTAAAAGTATCTGCATCCTAGGAGTTAAAATTGATACTGCAATTAATTTTAATCCGCACGTAATTGTAGTTACGAATGCATAATGCATAACTTAGAGTCCTCGGTGCCATCACGCGCATTACACGTAGTTTATTTCAACCATCGTTTCCTTTGCGCATGTTTTGTTCCCTTGTGCTTTCTCTCGTCGAACACGTCTCGGCTGTCTGGAATTGCATTCGATCAACTAATTCAGGCGTAATGAAGTAACTACATAGAAAATTCTTTCGCGTGTTATATGAGCGATAACTTCAACCTATCTATTATTTCAGACACGAAAGGATATGCAGACTAATGAAGTTAAATACATTGTACAACAAGGTAATTGTGCGGGTAATTCTGTTCCTGTGTACCTGTATACTTTAGCGGACGGTGTTATCTTTCCCCCTTGCTGCTCAGCTGCATGTCTGCTTGAGTGGCGTAGACAAGAGAGGGCCAGCCTAATGGGGCTACAGCCCCACCGCACACCAAATCATAAACATCCTAGGCACCTCAGCCGTCTCCCCCCCCCCCCCCCCCCTCCCCCTCTCCCCTTGTTCCCCTCGAAAAATATTCTTGGCTACGCCACTGTTCCCCTTACTCTACGTGTTCGTCGAAGGTGTACTGGTCACTGTTCATTGTTTTTTATCCTCCCGATTCGCATCACGCAGTACCCAAGACTCGCTTACAATTGACATATAACTATATCGAACAGATGGCTGGGGTTACTCCATTCACATTTTTTATGGCATGTGTAGCTTTCGACAGTGTAGTAATGCCAATGTTCTGTCTTAGCTTTTGTTTTCATGCTCATAATGTTTTTTTTTAAATTATTATTTCAACAGAAGTTGAAAGTGAACAACTAAGGAAGCGTCAAACTGTCTGTAACAATTGAAAATAAATGAATAAATGAATGATTGACTGCAAATGTAACGAGATATTTTATCTCTACTCTTGATTCGTCGGTTTTTTTTAAGCACTAGTTTCATTTCAATAATTTATGTCATTACTAATACCTAAATAATTAACGCGTTCGTGTGCATCATTTTAATTTGTGGCGCGCTTTATTTTTGCTTTGAAAGTTAAAGGGGAGAGCTGGGGAGAAAACCAAAAAGGCAACCTTATATTGTACTCGTTTCTCTCCAAAAGTAAAATATTGTTACTCCATACTTTACCTAAGAGTAGTGAAAATAGTTTACACGCGTTCGTTCTTTTGAAAAATGTAACAAAGTTGTCACTTCGTTAATAATAAAAAAAAAAAAGCAACAAGATACAAGTAACGCACTTCCTCTAACGCGTTACGTTCAGGTCTGCTTGAAATGCTTTGAGGAATCAATAACGGAGTGGGCGGAAAGTTACTTTCACGACGTGGTACACGTGTTGCTGTCACGTTTCAGATAAGATTAGGGCACTCTGCCCTCTCAATGGTATATCGGTGCACCTCGCTATCGGCTTTTTCCGGTTCCATATTTACAGCATCAGCGATGATAAGGAAACAAACTGCAGGAGTGATGACCCCAACCTACGTAAGAAATGTCAGAGTCGGACGGCTGTTTATGCTTCCAGACGTTTGTTTACGCGAGAGAAGACCGTTGTACGACCGAAAACAATAGTTATAACAATGATGAAACCCTTATTGCGTAGATTCTATTCTCTAGATGTCATATTGTTAGAAGATGGTAGCAGCCATGCCCATATCTTGCTTCCTTGTATTGCCTGGCAAAAACAATTAAAACGAAACAATTTTAATTTAATGGAAAGGACTTTGAAGGTGCAGAATTATGCATTCTGTACCTGCCATGGGAACTAGACCAAGTTAAGCTTTATAATAGTAGCTTTTGTCCAGAGTCCTTGACACAAATATTGCGGATAAAAAAAAATGCTTAGCTTATGTTACAGTTACAAAAAACTTTTTTTTGCTTCTATTTTTTATCTTTGTTTTAATGTAACTTGGTAAGTCGATAATTTTGAAGTAGATTGTAACTATAAAGCTTCGTTTACTGTAGACAGTCTTAAAATGTAAGTGTAATCGTGAAAACTGGCTGATGTCACTAATACGTTTGCACACTTGATACCATTGCTACTGCAGTTGTCACGTGGTCATCGCCAACGCGCCTCTATCTCAAGTGTTGTTTCCGGCACTCCGAAGCACAAGAGGGCAAATCTCCTAAAGGAAGCAGATACAATTAACGAGAGGCACTTCCGTTGACTTCAAGCTCCACAGAAATTGCGAAAGGTATAGGATATTAGTAGGCCTTAGACTTTCCGGTTTCAACAGGAAAACGCCAGTAAACGTCCGCTGATGTCGAAAATACAAAATCGGTTTAAAACACACACTCAGACACAAACAGATTTCTGCACATGTTTTCTCCAGCTAGATTTGTTTTTGGTGAAAACCTCCCCTCTTAGATTTGAACATTTAGTCTTTCATTAGACTTGGTAACCGATAACCACCGTCCGAAATAAATCATCGAAATACGTAGATATAAAAAAACACCAATATTGAGCACCCCCCCCCCCCCCCCCAATTTTCTTTATAAATAATCACCGGAAAGTCTACGGCCTAAGTGTCAGACTGCAGCTTCCACCCTCCCGCCGTGTGAATCAAAAAAAAAAAAAAAAGCGCAAAATGTGACAAACGTTGGTCGTACTCCAAAATACTGTCTGAAAACTAAATTTCTTTAATATATTTTTAGAATAGTTCGATGCAATCTGGATAATGAGCCAAAAATAAAGGAACGCTAACAAACAAATTATAACTAACATAAACAATTGACAGCGACCTTGATCTCCGAAATCCTATGAAGGATTTGAGGATCCTTCGAGGCTTTGGATAACGAAGAAGCACCGATTGCTTGCTGTTTCTCCGCTAAATTCAGTTGCAAAATTCACGTAGCTTGATGTGAGGTCAAGTGACATCAGGTCCCGCTAAATCAAGCTGTAAAATTCACGGATATTCCACTGACGAAGAAATTTCTGGGATTAGGGGTTCTGTTCAAAAACACATTCCATGCTTAAAAAAAATGTACTGATGGCTTAAGAAACGCAGGTCGTGGTTTATTATCTTAACACTTTTTGTTGCACGCCCGCGTTTTCCAACTGTATCTGATTAGAAGAAAGTGCTAGGAGCCAGAATCAAAAGACCTTAGGTCACTCTTACGTACACTCTTAAACATATTCGGTTCGTCTACTTTACTTCAAAACACTTCAAAGGGCCTTTCGGTGCAGTCTAGGGAAGGAACTTAAAGAATGACCACGAAAAAAATATGTCACCCCCGCCCCTTCCCACACACAAACACACACACAGAAGAAAGAAAAGAGTGCGTTGTGACATTGAGCATTGTGAATTGTCGGACTCACCGTCATAGCGATTGGCTCCCTCAAGAGCATTTCGAGAAAGTTGGGGCTCCTGATTTCTTAATGTGTATACAGACCTTTGCAGCGGTCATCACCCCGGCGAAAAATGCTGAGCCATCGAGCTGCGGACGCATGGGCAGCGTCTGATATGCCGCAAAGCATAGACACTGCGCATGCTCAGACGGCGTTTCACAGCCCAGCAGACAAAGATGGCAGCGCGCAGCAGGCGATTTTCGCAAAGGTCTATGTACAGCCGCCGAAAACTTGAGAAACGCAGGTGCGTGACCATACATAAGCATCTAATTATTGTTCTGAAAAAAAAATCGCATCGCCATTTTTCAAGAAGCGTTAAACCCAAGAAACCATGACCCGCGTGTCTTGAGCAGACAGTGAATTTAACGGCTTTCCTCGAGTCCCACTCACCGTCCTGTATCGAGGCCTCAGACTTGCCTGTGTAGCCATCCGAGCAGCGAGACAGCAGCAAGAGTCCGGCGGAGACAATCGCGACGGGAAACGCGTGCATGCTTGGATGCTCCTCGTTGCTCACAGGTCGAGTGACAGACGGTGGCACTTTTTCTTCTACAGCTTCGTGTGTGACCGATAAGCTATCTGTACGGGCATCGTACGTAGCCTGCGCAAGGGTTTCGGACGACAAGTGATTCGCGGCGAACCTACGTCAAGGAAGAACCTAAATACCAATACGTCTTCGAGGTGTCAGCCCTTGTTCGTTTGGACACCTGTCTTTATTGTCTCGTGAAATAAACTCAAAAGCAGTGTCAGCGGTCGATTCACCACGAAACTAGTGAATACGTCGCCGGCGCTTTGCCTTGCAGACTTTCTTTTTTGTTTAAATCCGGGTATGAGTGATTGGTCATTGTTTCATGGTCCAAAGCCACAGACCTACTGCCCCAGAGGTAGCGTGTCTCTTCGTTTTGCCTTGGGTGCGGCGTCGTACCTGTGCTTCGTAGAGACGTGTTTTGACGGATGAATGGACGTGACGTAGACGCGACCCAATTTGAGCTTGGTTTGTTTCTTAGATGATGACAGGCTTGCCGGCCGGCAGACGAGCAAGGAATCGCTCGATGGGTCGACCCTGAAGCTAACAGTACGTATAAATAGGAGCCCGTATTTGGACGCCTGGGTCATACGGAAGGTTTCCAACAGATAGAGAGGCGCGTGTGACATAAAGGCACGGTGTCGCGTAATAAAGATACTCCGAGACCGCCGAGAGCGGAAACGTCGGGAATCCGTCCTCCGTTGCCCTTGTCCTTCTAGATAGAGAGAAGTCGAAGTACTTGTTGTTGAGCTAGTTGGTAATGACTGTCTTGAGCCGCGGTTAAAAGCGCTAAAAAGACGAACACAAGAGAGAAGACAACATATATATTTGTACTTCTATCTTTTTTCTTGAAATGCAGTCGAGTAGCGCCCGTGTTTCTCTTCTCTCTTGTGTTCGTCTTTTTAGCAATGTTATCCATTGTTCAGAAGAGAGGGAACTAGGTCTGCGCGAAATAGTACTCGGCTGGGTGTATTAAGGGACGCTAGCAACTATGAAAATTCTTGTGAATAGTCCTCTACCCTAAGAGTGCAGGAGTCTTCACAAGGCAAAAGAGGCATTTCTACAAATAGAACGCGGTCCCGAGGGGAAAAAAAGAACAACGTTTTTTTGTCTTTTTGCCAGAGTAAATAAACTTTACAACTCGGAAAGCTCGAACTTAGTGAGAATATGACGCGGTTTGTATACAACGCGAGGGTCTCAGGGTATTGCGTCACTCGGAACAAAGATTATTATTGAGAAATACGAAATGTATTGAAGAGCCGACGTCCACATAAGCCTTGTATCGTCAGAGCAGGAACTGACAGTGTGGACAGATGTGAGGCTTATATTAGTGAAAAGCACTTGTCGGCAAGAAAGCGATTATTGTTTTTCTTTCTTGCTGATACCAGTTTTTGACTGAAATAGATGTTACAGGTACCCACAATGGCAATTCTTGTTTTGACGACATTTGGCTTAAGTGTATGTGAGCTCATAGAGCAATTTTGTCTTTATCAATTATCTTCTGACTCAGGTACACCTCCTGCTCTCAAACGTTCGTGTTCTAACCCGATCGCTAGCGTCAGATTCTCACGGAGTTTGAGGTTTCTGAGATGCACAAATTATTTGCCCCGCCGAAAAACAAGGTTCTCTTTTCTCGGTCTGTATAATAAAACATTAAGAATTAAAGCATTCGGCATTGTGCGAAGAGCCACTAAATAAGATACGGTTTGGGTATTTGACACTCCATTCCCCAAACGTTCTATTGGGTGCGAGAACTCTGGCGCTTGGTGCAGGGTTGTTCCCAATTCTCGATTGTTAATCCGAAAATGCCTCTTTCTGAGCCTCATATTACGGTGCAAGAAAACTCGAGTGGTATCATTGCACTGAGTTGCGGACTGTTTTAACGTTCCTGGAGAAGGAAAAAGCGTTTCGCGTTTTTTCGTATAAAACCTCAGGTAAGTAGCAAGAATTACTTTTAGCGCCTCGACGGCTGCAGTGTGGTTTGCTCTAAAAGCGTTTAGCACATTTAGCTGCTCCAGTTGAATCCACAAATACCAATTGATTGTATATTTTCTTAGAAATGAGGAGCAAAGTATAAGTACAGTCAGTAAATAATCTATAAACAGAAATAAAAACCGGTTCGGTGAGACTTTATAATTTTCATTTATTTTTCTGGTTGTTTATTGCAATTGTATTTCAAAAGTGGTCTCTGTATAGCGGCGAGAAAAAGAAATGAACAAAGACCTTTGCCGCGCACACTAAAAGCCGCGTTAAGAAGTGATACAGTAATTGACAATTTCAGAAACGCGAAGCGGGGCTGTTCAGGATTCTTCTTTTGTCATTCGTTGTTTCGCGTTCTTTTAGGTTAATGTCGCAATCTATAAGGTTGCGGAGGGGAAAATGAGTTGCTTAGGACTCAGGACGCCCTGTGATTTCTAGGCTGTCGATTACTAGACAGTCAATAAGCTTTCCGAAGCATAACAGATGACTTAAAGACCACGTGGGGCGTCGACGTTTTACGGTGGGTTACTTCCGACGTGGACATTCTCTTCGCGGGCAGCAACGCGGGAAGGTTCCAGGAGAGACGAGCAAAGTGCATTTCTCGCCGATGACTTGAATGTCGCACCTTAAGAAAAATCGGGGAGAGAAAACAAAAAGGGCATTAGTAAACCCTCAGAACAAACAGTAAAAATTGATGATTTTGTCTAGGCAGAAAAGTGGGGGCTAAAAAAAAAATCGCACGTGAAACGGGACTGCTTTGTTTTCGAGTATACACCCTAAAGAAATATGTACCGTCTATACATTTCATTAAAGCGTTTGCGAGGACCAATTGCTGTGATCCACGAAGGAAGGTAGGCGGATGACAAGGCTGAAAAGATGTTTCCTGCATAACAAAAAATTGGTCGGTGCATGCTACATAAATGTTCGTACAACTACAGCTGCATCTGAAAGCGCATCTGACATCATCATGCTTGCCGCATGCCGCAGCTGAGCTATGAGCGAATATTTCGGAATCACGGCTGCCCGAGTGGCGTCTATCGCCATTTTAATCAGACGGGCGAACGGTGAGTTGAAGCGAGCAAACGAGCACGCCAGCAGATAAAGAAAAAACGCGCGGACGCACTGCGCGGTCCTCGACAACTAGCGTCTCCCTGTATGACGTCACTTCCGTGACCAAGTTTGCGTGACATTGACCTTACAACCTTCCATCCCCCTTCCATGTGTGGAGAAAGATGTGGTTCTACGTCAAAAATGACTGCGTTGTTACACTATGTATGACGTGAGCATGCTTAGTGTCCTTGTTGTTTTTAGGTCTAAATCTATTTGCAGCCTTTTCTTTTTTTCGCCGAGCTTCTTCTAAAGGTTGCAGCGATTGGTTCTTCGAACTGCTTTTTGTAGAAGGAGACGCCCCAAATTTATTAGAGTGCATTTAGTTTACGTCTTTCGAGAAGTCAATCTTCGAGAAGAAGTACGACTCAAAATCGAGTATTGAAAGAAAGACGAAAACGACGTCATTGAATCAGGTGACAAGTGACGTCACTAGTCAAGTTAACATTCATTCATTCATTCATTCATTCATTCATTCATTCATTCATTCTTTCTTTCTTTGGATTTTCACCGACACTACCGGGTAGGGAGGCAGGGGCAAAGGCATTGCTGCCTGACCGGAAACTACCTCCTGAACAGTTCAGAGCATCACGCAGAGTACATTTGTCATGCTAAAAAACGTCCGTAGTAACGGGGCCTTGTCATTTCCGAAAATGGTGTCAACGTTGTGGCAGGGATGGCGTCTCAATTCCAATGACTGACGTAAGCGGTCTCGTGACCATAGCGACAGCCAATGACGCTCTTGTCGGTATTCGCGCTATAAGTCCAGCCTCGCTACATAAACAACTGCAACCAAATTTCCTGCAAAAAAAAAAAAAAAAACGCGTTTTGCGCAGTTTTTTTTTTTTGTGAAGCATTACCATCCTGCTGCCGCTAAATTTCTCCTGTGCTAACGGGCGCGGTCAATATTATCATTGTTATCAACCAAAATAACCAGCAATTAACTCGCGTTCTAGCAGGGTAAATGATCAAAGTGAAGTTGGGTAGAATTTTTAACCTAATAGGGAGTATTCACTGAACGCCATATTTGTGAATGCTGTTTAGAGCGCATGCTCAGAACGAGCTCACATCAATAGGCTGCTAGGACCGGCACTCTTGATGGTGCGGAATGCACGCTGCAAAAGAACTTTGGAAGCTCGCCTTTAGCACGCGGTCAGCATTCGCGCACACAACTATGGCCGCCAGTGAATACTCCCTATAGAGGAGTGTATGACCGCCGTCACTGTCAGCTCAAGAAACGCAGAGCCTGGCAAATCCCGAATATTTTAATTACCGGTCCCCTTCCAATAAAATTAAAATATTAGCCAAAAAAGAACAATAACTTAACTATTGACCAGGAACGTGAAGATAATAAGACACGCCCAGAGTTTCCGCAGCTGACGGTAATTATATGGGCAGAGTTTGAGGTGCCATCTCAATTCGGCTAAACTGGTCATTCGACTAAAGGCTCAATTTGGCCGAAAGGCTCAATATGATTCGAATCTCTAATTCGAGGGGAGGCGTCAGTTTTGTTCAATTTTCAATTTTACGGAGAGTCTATTTATATCAAGCACCTCGACTCGGCAGGAAGGTTTGACTCCAGGGTGATTCCACGTCAGTTCATGCAATGATGGTCCGGGTCATAATTTAGATATTTTTGTTAAGAATATATATGAAAGCCATGTTCTTGGGAGGAACATTCAGCTAGATATGAACGCCGTAACAAATTTTTTTGCTGAGATATAAAATAGAGAAGCTTGAGGCGTGGAAATTGAGAAGATTTCACAATGCTACTTTGCACAGTCGTCATTTCCTTATCGAACCTTTCACGGCACCATAACTTTTTAATAGGTTTTACAAACGTTATAGAACACATACATAAAAAATTAAAAATATCCATAAAATATTTCAATGCAAACAAATATATCAAACATGGCACAAAAACGCGTTTTAGAGACGTATTCACAATTTTTTTGCAAATAAACCATCTTTCATAATACTTCACAAAACATATCAAAATGCGCGTATTTAAATATTCTTTACGAATATATAAAGATAATATGCCCACCCTTAAACATATTTTTGTTATCAACGCGGAAATTCGGCTGATTTCTCAAAATGTGGCAAGATTGGGCGTCGATATTTAAAAAACTCCATCTTTTATTTTCTTTAAACTCCCCTTGGCACTTTGCAGTGACTTGAACTAACCTGTGATGGCAAAAGATTGAGTAACAT